TGGAATCGGAGCTCGAGGCCATCGGTATGTCGCTCCAGTTATCACCTATGTGAATTCGTCTCTCCACATGAGATCAAGGAAGTAGAAAAAAGTTAAGAAAGTCAGTAGTCGTAGAGGAACAGAAGCTCTCAGTAATTCGAAGAGCATATAAATGTTTCGAGCAGGCCAAGTTGGAGTGGATAATATGAAGTCGTATCGCAACTTTGCACAGTGGGATGAGGGACACACCCGCACAGTGGGTGGGGCTTGCGCCGATTCGGGCGGGGTGTAGTCAAGTACGTGTATTGGAGATCACAACAACAGTAGCGAGATCACAGCTCCGGGTAACTACCACAAAAAGCATCAAAGACGACTCGGCATATGCCATGAAGATGGATTGATTGCGAGATTAACGGCAGATGATGAAGAACCAGATATAAATGTGCTCAAGTGGTGTCTATAAGTAGACATGGATACCGAAAGCAGTAGTGACCATGCTGGAGTAAGGCTGAGGTTATGGAAAAGAACAGAGGACTGGTGAGATAGCCTCAAAGGGTTCATCAAACTAGGAACAATAGGGTCAGTTAAAAACTCGGATTTTATATGATACCTTTCTTTTGCCGCGCCGAAGACCACCACGTCGCTGTTCGCTCGCTGCAAGCACGACCCTGGAAATATTCTAATCATGGACAAAGTCGCACCGAATGGAATCTAGGAATTGTTTTGGAACTCTTACCCCTTCATTTGTTCCACAGTCAACACCATGTCGCTCTCGAAAAGCTTATTCGTAAGTGGACGATTGGCGCCCATCTCAGTGCCATCGAAAATCGGCTGGAAGAGTGTGGCAGCACGCCTCGGGTCCTTAAAATAGAGTGGCCTTCTACTTGAGAATTAAATATATGTACATATTTATTCACTGCCAGATGAAGCAAAAACAAAGTAAGGTAACGCAATGAGTAGTCAAATACAGTCCGCGACCAGAGCCCATACTGCAGCGGAATGAGTGGGCTTGCCAGGAGGCGTCCATTTGAGCGCTGCGTGATTGCAGTTTCTACCTATGATCGCCGTCCTGGACGTGAGCGTAGCTGCCGTTGGGCACAAATCCACGCCCCATCACACGATCCTTTGGTTAGCCGCGATATGGAAGTGTACCAGATAAGGCAGAATTTTTCCTTCACAAGGGAACTCAATAAAAAAATGACATACCGCTTCCAAAGCTTCAAAATGAACGAGGTTGCTGAAGGGGTTATTCGTCTCAGCGACCCTTTCTACACTCCACAGCCCTGAGACGCAATAAAAGGGCAGCATACTTTGTTTGAACATGGGTTATACGTGGAATATTTTTTAGTCTGAGGAAACTTGCCTTGTGATGAATAAAGCCATGATTGCAACTGTACCAAAATGAAAATATCTAACCGAAAACACAGCTCTCGTCAAGTTCAGATAAAGTGTGCAGCCAAAACTCTGGGTTTGGGCTATAACAGTAGTGGCCCCACGCAAAGGTGAACGCCATTGTGAAGGAGTAAGTGTCCCGCCACCTTGTTAATATTTTCATTCTCTCAATTTTCAGGTCCCGATCTCGCGCATGCGCTCACAGCGCCTCGCTTTTCCGCATGTTCGTGCCATACTCAAAAGACAGCTACGGACAGGGTACAGCATCGTTGCGAGAAACCTATCGGGGGTTGGGAGGTCGTACCTTGCCGCTGGGGGAAGGCGTAAACGCAGAGTCGGCGAGCACCAAAAAAGTCATAGCATGTTTGATGAGCGGACGAAGTGCTGCAGAAGACCCACACGTGTGGAAGACTACATAATATTGAAATAGAAATAGAGCAATGCATGGTGCGCACCCAGACCATATCGGTCGATGATAATCCAAGCTCTACTTCCACTGATTTCCAGAAAAATATGTGTTTATGAGGCACTTTAAGTTCCGGAATGAGTATTCTTGCAATGGCACAGATCTTCTAAGGAACTGTAGCACCTCTTTGGGAAGGGAATATGCGGCGCCTTGTGAGGCTCTTTTCAGTTTTGCTAGCGTTCGAAACACAAAATCTCGCGTGCGAATTGTCATCAACCCATCAAAAACTCATCTAAAACATTTCTCCAACAGGAAAAGTCTCAGGTAACGGGTAAAAAGAACACGCAACAGTAACAATTTTTCTTCATAACGCCTTTACCTTCCTCCAGAGCCCCACACCAAGAGAAGCTATCACCCCGAAGAAGTCTGCGATCTCCATTGTCAACGCTGTGCTCTAGGGCCACTTTGGCTGGAATCTCAACGCTATCTCAACGCTCAACGGATAAGGATATAATCTTTATCGTCACAGTAAACAATTGAGCTGAAAGGTGGAGGGGGAGTCGTACTAGCACCACTATTCCACACTAAAGGAAATGGCCGAGGAAAGGACTTCCGCCTCGTTCGTCTGCTTTTTTTGACTGATCACGAGACAACGAGTAGGTCTGCAGACGTGAATCCAATCTGCATCGAAGAACTGCTAGTGAAGGCTTTCAATGAGCCTTATCGAAACATTCGAGCTACTGATGCAAGTTGCCCGAGTAGAACTTCGACGTTCCACATCCTGAGCACTTTCTGAGATTACTGTGAGAGATCTATCACGTCCAGTTTTATACGCGCCTTCTATTATACAAAGCGACAAGGGTACCGGTATTGACAGGCTACACTGTAAGGGAGAGACAAGAAAAATCCGATGAAGAAAAGACACGGGAAAGTTGATAGAACACTAAACGTATTCTCTCGGGCATAAATTAGTGCGACTTGTCCGATGAGATGGAAGGGTAATGGTGTGTCTTTACAGTGCTCGTCTTTGTTGATACTCCGCTCTGTTAAAGTTCCAGATGATGACAAGACGGTTGCGGCAACGGCTGATCTGCGGATGCGCCATGCTCAGTCGAGTGGGCTGGTTTACGGTAGTCAGAATTCAGCTGACTTTTTAACATGCGATACTGACAGCCATTCTATGCTATTGTAGTGCTATGATGTACACGGTTGGAGGAACCGAAGTGATGCTATTGAATTTAAGGCAGACCCCGTGCTCAACTAAACTGTAAAATTCCTTCCTTGCCCAGGCAGAGGGGAGAGCAACAGCAAAGTGTCCAATTTCCGCTGCTCCACAACGAGTGACCAGGGCGCTCCGGCTGTCATAAGTTGCAGTTATATAAGGTCTACCGTATGCTATATAACGCAGCTCGAATACTTCTTGTTCAAGGAAGAAGTTCCATCAGTTGTTGAGCGCGGGGTGTGTTTCTTCAGTTTTCTCGGGCTTCCTGCTAAGCTGTGCCATTACCAGAGGATGTTGAAGGTGAAGCCATTCACTTCAAATCGTAATTCCAGAAAACTCCCAGAGAGCTCTCCTCCCCTGAGAATGTTATTGAAGGCGTAGTAGACTGGAGCTGCCGTAGGTTGGCGTTCGAAAACTATTATATGAGGTTGGACGAAAAGTCCTGCCATACTTCTAATAAGCTTACAGCTTGCAAACTACTTTCAGTACAGAAGTATGAACAAAGTTTGCCTTCTGATGCCATACAGTTAATTGTACAGTAGGAATCATGTCTAAAAAAGTCGCACTTTTTGGATAATTCATGGTGCCACAAGACTTTCCGCCAAGCCTGAAACTTTTTCGCACCTCCGTAGAGCATGGGAGGTGTGAATCAATGTATAGTACTGCCCTCCCCATCCCGCGAACTTGACACCAGGTTCTTAGGTTTCCTCGGTCGAAACGCCAACACATCACATAGCATCGTTCACATACGAAAATCCGGTGCTGTTCTGCTTACAATGGAGGTCGTTCAGGGTGTGC